CTGAGCCCAGCCCCCCAGCCCAGCCCCCTCTCCCCCAGCCCAACGGCACCCCCCCAAGCTGAGCCCAGCCCCCCAGCCCCAGCCCCCTCTCCCCCAGCCCAACGGCGCCCCCCAGGCTGAGCCCAGCCCCCTCTCCCCCAGCCCAACGGCGCCCCCCGGGCTGAGCCCAGCCCCCTCTCTCCCAGCCCAACGGTGCCCCCCAGGCTCAGCCCAGAACCCCAGCCCAGCCCCCCGGGCCCCCAGCACCCCCCGCAGGTTACCTGTGATCCCCGAAGTGGTGCACGGCCCAGCAACCCCCCGTCTCCCTGGCCCCAGCTCCCCGGCGCGATTTATACCCGTCCGCCAGCCCCCCCAGACCCCTCCCCGCTCCCGGCGTGACGCAGGCCCGGGCGGCCGGCGGGGGTGTCGGGGGCGCGGATCGATGGCGCCGCTGCCGAGCTGGGGGGGGGTCCCCGACCCCGTGCGTGGACCGAGATGTTAATGAACCAGCTGGGGCGGCGGGGGGCTCCTGGGACCCCCAAGTCTGACGCCCGGGGGAGGCTGGGAGCTCAGAGTCGATGGGACAGACGGACCCCTTGGCCTGCGGCTCCTAATTGCCCGCCCCTCCCCCGCTCGAAGGCCTCGTTAGACGGCGTCGCTAACGAAGCCCCTGGCCCCCGCCCGTGATTCACTGCCGGCCCAGCCGGCTGTCGATGGCGAGTGGGTGGTTCCGGGGGGTGTCTCGCTCTCCAGGGCTCATTAGCGCCGGACTCGTTAGCCGGCACCCTAACGAGCTGGCGGGGAAAGGGGGGCTGGGCCGTGTCTCCCAGCTGGGGCGGGGGGGCATCCTCTAGGACGTGGGCCCAGAGGCAACCGTCCCCATATTGCGCCCACTCTGGGGGGCCCAGTACCACGTGGGGGGGCAGCAGGGCTCTGGGGATCTATGGGGACCCCACGAGACTCCCGCCCCAGGCCCATGTCGCAAGGGCCGCAGCTTGGGTGGCCCAGCCCTGGGAAAACCCTCGTTCCCCCGAAACCTGTTTATCCCCCTGGCTCTGGGAGGGGGTGGGGGGTCTAGTGGTTAGAGCAGGGAGGGCTGAGAGCCAGGACTCCTGGGTTCGATCCCTGGCTCTAGGAGGGGAGTGGGGCCTAGTGGTTAGAGCGGGGGGGGGTGGGGCTGGGAGCCCGGACTCCTGGGTTCTCTGTGCATTGCAGGGCCTGTCGATGCTGAAGCCCCAGGATGGATCCGGGGGGGGCTGATCGAGGGGGGGAATGCAGACGATGCTGGGTTATTTCCAGAGAGGCCAGCGTGGGGCAGAGGGGCCGGGCCGGGAAGGGAGGGCTGGCGGGCTGTGCCAGGCGGGCAAGCCGGATATCAATCGCCCGGCGCTCGCCCCCAGGCGGCTAATTGGGACTGGAGAGCGGGGGGCGGGGGGACCAGAGAGGAAAATCGTTTCATTAAATTAATGGAGCGACGCAGCGGCCAGGGACACGGAACCGGGGGGTGGGGCTGCCGGCGGCTGGGGGGGTTTGGGGAGGTGAGATGGGGGGTTAACCCCCCCTCGCAGGGAAGAGACAGTCGGATGGGCATGGACAGGGGGGCAGGGTGGGGGTGGGGATGGCGGATCAGTATCCCAGGGCACAGACAGAGGGATGGGGGGCAGGGGGGTTGGGGGAGGGGGGATGAGTCCTCCCTCCCCCCCGGGGCACCCACAGCCAGATCACATGGGCGGGGGGGGGGTGGGCTCTTCCCCTTTATATTCCAGCCCTGGGGGCCCCGCCCCACCCAGCTGCCCCTGATGGGGGCAGGATTTATTTATTCCCCCTCCCCGGGTGGCTCATGGTAGCTGTTGCTGGGGGTGGCCGGAGCAGCTATGGCGAGCCCGGGGTTGGGGGCCCTTTTTCTTCCTCTCCGGCTGGCGCCT